GGTGTGCAGCTCAAAGTGCTTACTGTCACGGAAGCATTCCCGTTTCGGTTCGTCCCGCGGACTTCTTCTGCAGGCGGCCTGGATGTGACATTCTGGATGGTTCACAGATATTGTTAGCGACGACGCCTCTGCGTACGCCATTCAATTGCTTACAAACTCAAATGTGGTTCTCCACAGCCGTTACATAGATATCTAGCGTGGGGTTTGGTTGACTTATATTCCATGCCGTCCATGGCGCAATTAGGCCATGTTTCGCTGACATTTTACCTATCGAGGTTCGTCAGTCGTATAAATTATGCTGGCGGGCCGACATTGACTTCCCCTAGCATCATTACGACTGATCTTTAGAAAGCTAAGAAGTCTCAGATACTACGTGCGGCACTTCACCTTCTATGCTTCCGAGTCGCAGAACATTGGACCCGGATTATCGGCCCCAAGAACCGCAACTGCCGGTTCTCATCGACTTTGCAAGGGCACGCAAAGACGTCAGGGAACTTGCGATGGGGTCTCTGCGACTTGTCGGCCTGCGCTGCGACCGTGGTGCACATGCGCGAGGGCAGCGTCGCGGGCAACATAGCGCGGCGTGGTTGGTCGAGTGCGTGCACAGGTACTGCTCCCCCGGATGTGACACGGTCTCCAGTCGCTTGCTAGCGCGCGCGGAGCCTTTGGTGTTCAAGGCGCAGCACCGCTCTCTCCACTGGCAGTTTGGAGCATCTGGATTCTTTCGCTCGACTTTTTCCCTGGCAGTGTTCAAAGAGCACTCAAACGAGTGGGTCCGCCGCTGGGGTCCATAGGCGCATGTTGCATCCCCGTGCTCCGCTACCTGACGGGACTGCGGGAGAAGTTTGCGCGGGCACACAGCCACGACGTCGGGTGTGAAGGGCTGGCTAGATTACAGGGCTTTAATTTTTTTGAATTTGACTACATTATTGAGCTTGGGTACGGGACTACCTCAACTTTGCAGGCGGTCGCCGTATCGCCGCACGCTTTGCGCAGGGCCCTGCCGTCTGATATTAGTACCGATTCCCCTCAGTCCCGTACCATACCTGAAATGAGATATACCAAAAATCTCGACCAGCATTTGCTCGTTCGTTTGGATCCAAGTTACTGGCGGTAAGCCACGCGTGGTGCGAGAAATGCCTCGTGGAAGATTCTTCTCAAAGACCAGAGTGATCATGCCGGTAAGAAGGCATTGCATCAGGTTCAGAATATCGTTTATCGGTGGGCATATCTTTCGCGCAAGCCCGAATATGTCGCTGTGAAAGACCATCTCCCACTGGACGCGTCGTTCGGGGGAGAAAAACGAGGTGAATTGGATGGGTAATTGCAGCATCATGATATCGATTGGACCCGCTTGAAGGCCCGCGGACGGACGCCCAATGGAAGCCTGAGATATCCCGAGCGAGAACAGCATCTGGGCCCGGGGGTCAGAGCATGCGAACGGGAGCCAATGATGCTGGTAAATCAAATCTGACTTGAGGGCATGGAGCCAGCGATGAGAGCGAGCGTAGGTGGCACCCAGGGCGTCGGCTGTGGTTAGGGGAACCCGCGTTCGTTTTGCCCACTCGTTGATATTCCTGACATCAGTTGAAAAAAAGCATAGAGCTCGGTTTTCAAGTTCCGAGACGTGACTGGCATCGGCCCCTGTGTAAGAGGTGAAAGTGGTTCCGGATTCCGGATGATGATGCCAAACCTAATGGATTTGTTGGCACTGCACTAGGGAACTCTGTTTGAGTGCGCTGTGCCTCGGAGACCAGTATCGGAATTTGGCTGGGTATACGCAAGTCACTCGACGGCTCTGAACTAACTGTGTGCTGATCTGAGTCGAACATTGATAATGGTATATTCCCATCAGATGGCTCATCTTGGGAGCGTCTTCGGACAATCAGCGCACTCATCAATATTACAGGCGAATAACGCACTGTACGGCTGGAGACACAGGGAACAGCGTGATGGTGTCCGCAGCACTGGGACGCTGGCGCCAATCCTGTTCCCAGGCGGTTGTGACGAGCGCCCATAATGCATCCGAAATGTTGGTTGGCTTTCCCGGTCGCTCTCCGTCCATTACCTTGAGCAGAGCCGATATATCTGGTGTGACATCGGAGAAGGGTGGAGCACCTGTGTAAAGCTGTATAAGGAGTTAGCGCGATAAACAGGATCGTAAGTAATCGTGAACCTCATAACAGACACATCCAAAAGCATACATATCGCTGGCGGGGGTCCGGACAAAGCGGTCACAACCAAAGGCGGTTGGGCGTATCAATTCCGGCGCAAACCACCGGGTGCTGCCCGCGTGGTTTGAGCTAGATGCTGCTGCAGTGGTCTCGGTGTCGCTGATAATATTGGCTAGCCCGAAATCGGCTAGACACACGTTGAAATCGTTCGAAATGAGGATGTTGTTTCCCCGCAGGTCACCGTGTACGATGTTCATTAAATGCAGGTATCTGAGGCCCTCGGCAGTTTCGATAAGCTGACATGATCAACAGTAAGTAAGTTGTTGGTCCCAACAGCATTGAGTCAACTAACCAAACGATCCACTTCCCTTAGGCCGTGATTTTTGAGGTAGTCCAGGACAGTGCCATTTTCCATCCAAGGTGATACCATGCAGAGTGAAGACGGAAAGGTATTACTGTCGATGCCCAGGAAGGGCAAGATGAATGGGTGGTGCAGACCTTCCCATATGAGAGCTTCTTTGCAAAATCGCTGGGAGATCGTCATAAACGAAACCAACAACGACTCGGAAATACCAAATACTTACCAACCGAGTGCGATGGGAGGTCGTTGGATCCCCAGTATATATACGGAGGCGCTTGAGAGCAACTCGTTTACCTTGATATGATGCCGGGAAAATGTCTCCAAAGCCACCGTGAAATTTAGGGTGTTCACTGCGATTGGTCACTCCTATAATGCTGAGAGAGCTCGGAAACCTCTCGGACGCCTCGGCCAGCTTCACCATCAATCGCCGTGCCTTTCTGGCATATTCTGGGGTGGGAAGGGATGCATTGCGCAGGACCTTCAACGCGAGATCAGATGGAATTTGAAGGAACAATGAGTGGCTGCATACGTGCTGTACAACGTCCAGAAAATACTGAGCATTCTGGTCTCGAAGGAGCCGAGCGGACTGTCTGCCATCCCGAGAGTCAAGCACATGTACGACACATTCGAGGATATCGATGTGCTCTTCGAGACCTTGCAGAGGTTCTCGTTCTCGATGTCCGCGCCTTGAAAACGGCTATTGGACAGTCAAAAACGTCTCAGTGGCGATAATACCCAGCTCTGAGCACCTGCGATAGGAAAGCAACTCGCTGTTCCCAACAGGCCAGGAGAGAGTGCAAAGGATCCTCGAGGACTGGCATGAGATGGGACTCCGTCTGAGGCACTTGCCTATAGGCTATGGGCAGTTGGTGATATGTTGGCGTCGGTAGAGAGATGTGTAGGGCGGGATTGCTACAATAGTGAGCAACGACTCGGACGGTCGGGCTTATAAGTTGCATGCTCACCGCATTGCTGGCATCTTTTCTGGAAGAAAATCGACGGCGCGGAAGGGAAACGATACACAGCCTCACATCCTGTCGGGTTTCTAGAAATCAAGTCTCCGAGATATTGATGGTCCGGAACGTGATGAGCAGCGACGTGACTAAGAAACCTCAAAACAAAAACTTTGTGTTTTTGCAGTAAGGACCCAGGACACTGCACAGTCAGCAGTGTATGCAAATTTGGGCGGCGGCAGGCCTTGCTCGTAATGCAGTCGGCTCGTACTCAGAGGACAGAGACAGTCTGAAGATGCCGAGCGATGCCGGGATCAGTGACATAATGTGACGCCGTTTCACCGTCAGACGGGAGCAGACGCTCCACTCTGACATTTCCTTATAAGGAAATAATTATCTAATCAAATCTCGTAGAACGGGTAACATGTGTACACGTCAGCACGCTAGCTTCAATGGTCTAGGGGCTATGATGGTTGTCATTATGTAATGCTCTTGATCTGCGTTCTATCCTGGCCACTGCGTTTTGTTGGTGGCTACAACAAGCTGTGTCTGCATGGCAGATTTCTTGCCATGAACGCGAACAGAAACCTCGCCCAAGAAATGTACTGTAACACGTGTGCAAGATAAAACCTGCGCAGAGATATTAAGACCGTGACGCGAGTGATACATACTCTTGTGAGTTGACCAGCGTGCTGTCCATCGAACACTCTCCGTCCCTATATGCTCTAAGCAGTAGGAATTTGGTCTTGGGTTTCTTCGGCTTCTGGGTTAATAAGTTGCATGCTCACTGGCACCGCATTGCTGGCATCTTTCCTGGAAGAAAATCGATGGCGCGGAAGGGAGACGATACACAGCCTCACATCCTGTCGGTTTTCTAGAAAGTCTCATCAAGTCTCCGAGCAACGTGACTAAGAAACCTCAAAAACCAAAACTTTGTGTTTTTGCAGTAAGGACCCAAGACACTGCGTTTTGTTGGTGGCTACAACTGTACAACAAGCCGCGTCTGCATGGCAGATTTTTTGCCGTGAACGCGAACAGAAACCTCGCCCAAGAAATGTACTGTAACACGTGTGCAAGATAAAACCTGCGCAGAAATATCAAGACCGTGACGCGAGTGATACATACTCTTGTGAGTTGACCAGCGTGCTGTCCATCGAACACTCTCCGTCCCTATATGCTCTAAGCAGTAGGAATTCGGTCTTGAGTTTCCTCGGCGTCTGGGTTGAAAATTTCAGTGGTTTACATAGTCACATCTGCCAAGTACGCTGATATCTCCGAGTCCAATCCGTACGGCGTACCCGTACCCGGGTCCACTACGTGCAGCGGGCACTTATACCCGGGATTCGGCGTGTCCAGGAGTACTGCCAGGTTAATGTATTTAGAATAATTAATGCATTTTATTTAAGTAAACACCTGTGGCGAGCAGCACAGAGTTCTGTTATTTTCGTCTCCTTCATCCTCGCTCTCGTTTCACATGCTTATAACATTGTCCTTCAGAGGCCCTAAGATGTGTCCGGAATGGTGTAGGGGTAACATTACCGCCTCTCATCTCGGTAAAGCTTCCTTGCATGGGTACGCGGTAGCCCGGGGTTCGACTCCCCGTTCCGGAATATGGATTTTCCCAACCACTGTTTTTCTAGTGCGGACATATGACAACATCACTCAGTACTCGGTTTTTTACTAGATAAAATTGATGTTTGAGTAAAATTATGATATACTCTCGGATGCTCATTCGAACAAGAACTCTGTCGCAGCGCGTCGGCGTCCCGACGTCCGTGCCAGATGGATGTCGAGGATTTCTGTCTTTTCCGCTGAAGGGTCGCGTGCGATGCGCCGTTGCGCATCACTTCTGTCAATAGGAGCTAGAAACTTATGAGACGAGTGCTCTGCTCACCTTGTCCTTCGCAGGTAGGGCGTGCCGCAATGATTTCTGACTCCCAGAAGTTACCATTTGAAGGATTTTCTTAAATTCCAGGTTCAGTTTTTACGAAAAACCTGCCTTTTTTTTGTAACTTTCTCGGACCCAGAAATTGTCGAAACGCTGAGCCTGAGGGGATAGGTGTTTCATGTGTCATGTGTTTTGGCAATTTCAAAAAGATTTGTTCTTGTCGTTTGCTCCCTCGGCAAAAAAACTTGAACCCCGTAGAACTTCGTCTCAAGAATTTTTTTTTTTGGTCGAACAGGCGCACAATTCAGTGCTTTATAATAAGTCTAAACAAATATCAATTCTAATCTTTTAGACCTATCGAAACTTATGAAAACATACCGAAATTCATTTTAGGGCTGTACGGTTTAAACCGGTTTAAAAACACCCTGTTAAAAACATTTTACGTAAACACCACACCTTGGAAGAAAACACTCAGTTTTAGATTATGCAAGCATGACCTGACCAAATCTTGTGTAAGGATTCTGTGGCCATCGTCAGTTTCCGTGTCGCTCTCCGTGAATACCCGACGACACCTTGACGACGATGGTCTCTACACCATTATTAAACCACCTAACGACCGGACACTCATTTTATTCCCGGACCTTGTACATATCCCAGACATTACGTCAGTTCTTGCTGCGTGAACGATAGCTCCTCGATACCGAACCAACCCCCGAGCCCGAATCCCGTGCTGGCGGACTGCTGATTGCCTCCGTTACATCTTGCAATACCCAAAGTTTCAACTCGACGTCGTTCAGTAGTGACTAGTGACTAGTGACGCCGGCATCGCTGCGACGCTGTCGACTTTCCCTGCTTCCTTGACCTGCTCAGCGATACCCTCTCGATTTAAATTTGTGGCAACCTCTGTGGCGTCGAACAGCACAGGTAAATGCAAAAACTGAAATGGGCCGCCGGCGTTAACAGAGATGTTGTACGATGGATGTAGATCTGCTTGACTAGTACCAATGCTAGTTTTAACCATTGGTAGATACACTTGTTTTAGTGTTACCTTTTTAACTGAAGACATTTCCAGATGCCAGCTACTGGAGATCATGATATGCCTTGCTTGATCAAAAACTCTTATAAACAGCCGAAAGCACCGCGCAATAACCCTTCGGCAGTCTCGGCTATCGTCGGTCTATAAAACATAAGTTATAAACTGGGTTATAAATGCCTTATCGTGACCATGAGATATAAAACCGGTTTCACACCCCGAAAATATTTCTGAAATCGTGAAGTTCAATCCGAAGACCCTTGTTCAAATAGAGCAATCCGAATGTTAGGGACATTATCCGGAGAAATTAGGATTTTACGAACATTAGCTATCAACCATGTGACGAACTTGGCAAGTCCCCCTCTCTCGGACGAGCTCGACCTTTATGTGTGTTTGTGACGACTGTGTACTGTAGATATAATATTATTCCGGCTGAGAACACAGACTTGAGGCAATAGAATACCGGTCGATCGATCGCTTTATGTGACCAAGTGCCTCAACACCAACGATGGACGGGGGGTAGTCTGCAGAAATTCGTGGTGCTCTGCCGTTTTGAGACGCGTTTTTTTGCTTATTCTCGTGTTGCCAGAGATTTGTTTCAAAAGTTTCAACTCTGCGGAATCGCTCCGTCCTTGAAGGATTCCGGGCCGTGCCAATTCACCATACAGGGCAGAGGGTGGTTATCAACGATAGGCAGTGCCGAGAGAAGATACACGATACGTTCATATTCTACTATGTAGGCGCACCTATCATTGCCTATAGCTAGATCCGAGGTCGAAGCCCTGGCTCTTAAGCTTGTACCAACTTACGTCGTGGTAACATGTGGCACATCTAAATGGCATGGCTGACGTATCCGACGAGTCTTCAAGCTCCAAGTTCGAACTGAGATGTGCCCTCACTTCAATAGCTTGTTTGAAGCATCCGTGAGAACCGCATTTCCAAGAAGTATCCTAAAAAAAACGAAGACCGACCGCGGACTCTTGCGGGATTCCTCGGGCGACCCGGTTCGAATAGCTTAAACTCTGCGAACTTCGCCCTTTCGATATCAAGTACCCGGAAGCTTAATGCGCCCCGATCACCGGTTGAAATGCTTGTCAGTTAATTTGAGTGTCTCCGCGGAGTACTGTTTTAAACCTATGGTCAGGTGATGCGCATGAAATAGAGTCCGCGATATAAGCTTTACAGCAGACCGGCGCTTGCTCGCCGCAAACCGAATGTGACCCGCTCTAGCCGCATAGAATCCTCGATGTGCTCGAAACTGGTCTATATCTGGAATGGGCATCCACTGTCAGCAAGCGGGCCACATTGACAGAAAGAGTAAGGATCGATATACTACGCTCTGCCAGTGAACCCTGGGTGTGCCCGGGCCGGCACTCCATCTCTTGTAATTCAGAGCCGGGGCTTCATATACGGAGGACGCGCCCTGGAACAACAATAGGTCCGATATCACGTGTTGCAACAGAGCATGGGGCACGACGAACCGGCCTTGCACCCGAGCAGATTCGCAGAGATGGAAAACAATTCTCAAAATGGTGGGAAGCGCCGGCGCTACAATCCAGGATAGGCTCGAAGCCTGTCTATGCAAGCACTGGCATAGAAAACAGAATTCATAGACAGACGGTTACCGGTCTAAATCTCGGAGAATACGGGTTCAGGGGCTCCGAGTCGCCAGAACAGATTTATCTACGGAGGTTGCTCTGATGAGGTCAGGACCTTTCGAATGTTAATCGAAGGAGAGAGAACTCCTGCGACTTGGAATGCGCACAAAGAAAACAATAGTATGAAGGCATGATGAGCATTAATGAGCCTGAGGTCGCGAAGAGCTCGAGACCGACAGATTTGTTTCCAACATATGCATATGAAGTTGCGTTGCCAAAGCTTTGAAGAGCTTTGAAGTTTACCAGGCGCGGGAACCTTACAACTTAATCTGGACGTTCGGATCAAGTCGGCGTTAGGATGTTTGCTGATGCGGGAAAATAACTTTCCTTCTTCTCCTTACCCTCTTTTGGTTTTCAATGCGAACCTTTGCGCGATATTTCGCACAGAATCAAACTAAAGTCGGTGGTTTCAGTGGTTTCCGCCAAAATATTTTCGGCCAGAGCTCCGGCCAGGACCTAGCATTTTTCAGCCCCATTTAGGTCCGTCCGGGACCTGAGTTCGGGCAAAAAAGTTGTCCGGCGTCAGACCCTCTAAGGGTAATTTCAGGGGTCCTTTACATAATAGTACAGTAATCTACTTTGATCTTTGATCAACGTCTCTTGCCATCTTCCCTCACCATACCCCGCACTTTTGCAACCACCTGCAGATTCATCATGTCACAATTGCAAAACAGCACTGCAAGAAGGTCCTCATTCAGCTCGCGAATATGGCTAACGGCGCGCATAGGACACTGACAGCAAGGCATCGACACTAACGCAGAGCGCCGATAGCATGATCAGGGACTTGAAAGCCGCTGGCAGCCTTGTCGAGCTGAACACCGCTATCCGCCTGCTACACTATGCAGCGCACAGTCAGCTTCCGGCGCATCCAAGATTGGCGGAATGTCTGCAGCGGCTCGTCCTGGCCTTCTTGGCGCGATTCGCCTACACATGCCAGTTCTCTGATGTGTACCTTGCATATGGGTTGGCGTGCTGCGCTTTTAACGCCGACGACGAGATGGCTACCACCAGGGATGTTCCGCCGCTCCTGGAATACAGCGTTGGTTTATTTTCTTCGATATATTGATCCTGTTGATTGAACAATTTACACCAGGGATTCGACGCCCCAAATACGCTACATGATTCCTCCGAGGCCATGGGCCGGGCTGTCGACATTTTTGCTCATTTCAATCAATCTCCTGATCCGACCACACTCGACATGGCTATTTCTATTCATCGCGAAGCGTTATCCTTGCGAGCGGTGTCCGATCAGCGGCGGTGGACTACGCTCGAGGGGCTCTCCGATGCCCTTCTCATTCGATATCGTCGGAATGGTCAGGAAGAAGACCTGGACGAAGCGCTGGCATTGCTGGAAGAACTCCAGAAAATCATGCCCAATCGTCTGGTTCGCCTATGCGCAGCGCATCTCATTCGATTCGCAACGACGACAATTGATGCCAGTCTAAGTCTGAAAATCCAGACCATTGTACTGTTTCGAAAGCTTACAACCTCGGAAACCGACGCTTTGGAGCTTTTGGAGGCCGGTACCGGTTTGTTGGATGGGTTCAGGGCGGGAGGAAACGTTTCCGATCTTCATGCCGCCATTTCAATGCTGCAGAAGGCGGAGGATAGCCTGCCTTGGGGGCATTCGCAGCGCCGCAGGAGTGCCACAAGCTTAGCTAATGCACTTCGGGATCGATTCGGCAAAGAGGGCGATATTACTGACGCGGACAAGGCAATTGCTCTCTATCGCGACGTCCTCACCACTATCTCCCGGTCTCAACGCGGAGTTGCTCTCAGAAATTTAGCCAACGCTCTATCTGAACGATTTTACAAGACGGAGAATATGGAGGACCTTGAAGGCGCGATTGCGCTGCGATTTGAAGCTCTTGCCCTGGAGACTCTTCATTTGCAGCCCGGTTCAGACCCTGATCGTGCGGACTCCCTCAGCAGTCTCGCTGATTTACTCCATGACCGATTTACCGCTCGAGGTGACATAGCAGATCTCGACAGTGCGGTGGGATTTCACCGTGAAGTCCTGTATCTGCGGCC